AATGACATACGTGGAAGGGCCTAGCTTCTGGATTCACCACAAATACAGGTATTCTGACTGTTTCTGGTCTACTTACCACAGGAAAAAGATGAACCTTTTTTATTAGCTGCTGAGCTATAACTAAAAATGCATTCAAAGAACACTAATCACCTAGGGCATTTACTCTTTCCGGCCTGTATTTGATTGGGGAATAAAGTACTGTTTTAAGTCTAAGGTGTGGATGGAAGCCTCAGGCCTTTATCACCTTGTACCTCTGTCATTACTTCTGTCTCTGCTGTATCTTAGGGGAAGCATTAGAGATATCAATGACTTCGTGAACTTTTAAAGGCTGCAATAGTGAGCATTAGAAGTCCAGTTGCAGGAGTCCCTGCTGGGATTTTCTGAAGGCTAAGCAAGGGTGAGACTACAGCAGAGGCCCTGAAGAACAAACTGCTTGACCCAGCCCAGCAATTAACTGAGATGCTGTTATGCTAAATCAGCAATCTTTTGAGGGCAAATGCTTTGTGGAAACTACTTTAACTTTGAGCCCACTCTCCCTAGGGACCAAGGTAGCATAAGGGAACATGTTCCCTAGGCATTAAGAAGAAATGTTTGTACTTCTGTTCTCATTAACTATCCCATTGTAAAAGCAAATTGATGTTAATTAGTTAAATGATATGGGGGTACTGACAGTGTTGATTGCAATGTTAATGACACTGGCAGCTAACGTTAGAGAGAATACGCCAGATTTGATGGAGGGGGAGGAGAGTTGAAGTGACAGCACTAGTGAAAGACCCCACTCCCCCAAACTCTGTAGGAGAATCTCTCTAGGATTCTGAAGGAGAGATGTTAGCTAGCCTTACTCTGGAGGACCTGATTCATCATTGTGAGTCTGAGTTGGGAGGAGGATCCCTACAATTCTATAAAAGCTACATATATATTTTAATGTATGTATGCACACATATATAGATGCACAACCAATGCTATACATACATACATACATACATACATACATCTAATATATGTATATTCCACAGTTGGAAAAGTTATAACCCCCTCCAAGAAATGGAAAGAGACACATGGAATTCTGGGAGTTAATTGATTAGATCTGAAATGGGACATTCAGGAGTTAAATCATCTGATACTCCTTCTTTTAAAGTCTGGATGAGTAGGGAAACCAATGGGATGGTGGTTTTGAAGTGGTAATTTTAGTAATTTTTAAAACATCAAAAATTGTTTCTCTGTTCCCTAGAACAGCTAAGTACAACAATTAATCAAACATGATGGCCATTGTTATGAACAGGACTGATAAGGCAAGGCCTTTGTAAGTTAACTACCTGTATAAAGTATTTAACATCTTGTTGAAGTACTTAACTAAACTCATCATTTAATGAGACTCAAACTGGGCACTAGTGCTGAATTGGCTTAGGATAGGTTAAAACAGTAGTGTCAAACTCAAATAGAAATGAGGGCTACCACAAATATAAAGATCCCTGTGGGCCACATACCAACTTAGAAAAAAAACACATATTAATATTATCTATGACTTATTGTATTTTTAAAAATTTTGTTAAATATTTCCCAATTACATTTTCATCTGTTTGGAGGGGTCGGTGACACTTTGGAGTGTTATACAGTCTCTGGCTTTGTGTTTGATGCCTCTGGGCTAGAGGATGATACTTTTTATGGAGTGTGGACACAGTTCACTGGAAAGTTATTTAACCTCTGAGTCTCTTCCTTCATCTGCAAAATGGGACTACTAATACCTACTATATCTACCTCACAGGGTTGTTGTGAAAGTCAAATGAGAATCTGTAAAGCACTTTGCAAACCCCTGGAGTGATACACACCCACACCCACACACCCATACACCCACCCATGCACAGTTATTATTATCTTTTCAATGCATTTGGGCTACTGAATGTAGTCTCTATTCAGGCATATGCCCAGAAATATTATAAATGAAATGTCCTAAGAAATTGTTTTCCTTACCTCTTCTGATTTTCTAACATAAAACAAATGTTTTGTCCATTAATAGGAGGAGGTATGGAATGCTGGAATCAAAATTCTGTTATAGTTAAGGGCTGCCAGTTTCAATTGTCACTTAAGTGGATTTCTCTAATATATCATTTTTTTTTCTCCTCAAAATGTCAGTTGCTGATCAAATCCTAGAAAAGCTACTGATTTAAATTTTAGTAGCAACAAAGTAGAACAGTATCCAAGTTTTATATGAGGGGAATTTACTTGCTATTCTGTTAGGACTTTATACAAAAAAGATGGCTTATCACCTCATCAAGGCTTTAATATGATTTAATTTATATTTACTTCAAGTAATGGAAAAAAATTAATTGTAAAAGTCTTCTAGCTTTGGTGGTCTCTGTCTCTTAAGTTCCTCCTTCACACCAAGCTTCTGCTTCCTTAAATACATTATTTTGCTTCTCTGGTCAAGAACTTGCAGCGACTATAGCTCTTTGTGGCCTATACCATTAATCTAAGAGCTTTTGCCTAGCTTTGGAGGCCTTCTACTGATAAAATGGAGACCAAGTCAGTTTAAGTGACTTGTGTAAAGTCACACAGCTATTATTTCAGAACCTGTGTGAAACACTAGAATTTTGTTTCTAGTGAGAACAATGCAATCAATCTTCCTGTAACAAAAAGGAACATTTCCTTCTCAACGGGACTATTTAGCTGCTTGTTACTCTATGTCCTGCTTTATTTAAATAATATTAGTAAGCATTAATAATAACACTATAGCAAGCTTTAGACATTTAACTCTCCCCTGCTAGTGCCATTAATAATGTCTCTTAACACAAAAGTAGATACAAATTGCTTTAGCAAAAATGTTCTTTGAAACTGACTTCTAAGAGATTGTATCCTTGTCCTGGAACATTTAAACAGCAAATTTAAGGTTTTTCCAGAGACAACATGGAAATAGTGCTGCCTTGACCACCAAAAGATAGTATGACCGGGGATGAGCTGAATCTACAAAATAGGACTGGGAAATTTTTTGATGCCAAGATGTCTCCAGAGCAGAGTTGTCAAACACACCAAAGATTCCACTTGCAGCCCATGGTACTCCAGAGTGTGGCCCAAACCAGATTAAAATGTAATTGGGAAATATTTAACAAATTAAACAAAAAGACAATAAAACAAAGATAATATCAATATGTGGTTTCTAAGTCAGTATGTGCCACAGGGATGCTTATGTGCAGTTTAGTGGTAGCAGTTTCTATCTCTTTGATGCCACTGCTGGAGAGGAAGCAGGCCCCTGACATTCCTTCCCTAAATTGAAAACCTGCAAAAAATGTGGGTTACTTGGTAACCTATTGGGCGGACACCCATTTGCTTTTCTGGTAGTCCAATCTTAGTTGTAACAATAGCCAACTTTTACATAATAATAATGTCACATTCGTAAAGTATTTTTCTAGCTTCTAAAGTATTTTCCTCAAAATAAACATGATTTAGTGCATCTATGATTATTCCTATTTTGTAAATAAGGAAACTGGGACTAAGAGATATTAAAAGACTTCCCTGGAAGTGGCAAAGACTTGAGTTTACTTCTGATTGAGGATGGCAATTCTTTCTCATGTCCACATTTGGACACACATTCTCTGCCTGTGTCTGCCTACTGCCCTTTTGAAATCTAGCAACTGCTGGATGATGGGCATCTAGATGGCTCCAGCTGTGTGACCCTGAGCAAGTCACTTAATCCTGTTTATCTCCATTTCCTCATCTGTAAAATGAGCTAGAGAAGGAAATTGCATACTACTCCAGTATCTTTGCCAAGAAAACCCCAAATAGGGGTCACAAAGAGTCAGACATGATTGAAAAATGACACAACAATAATAACTGCTGAATGATTCTCTGCTTCATTCAAGTGAAAGGAGGAAGGTAGAAAGCCACTTTTTCCCCTATTATTGGACTTTCTTGATTTTGTAGAGGGAAAACTGAGCTGTGTTTGGTTTGTTTCTCTTGACAAAATCAAGATAAAAGGTAGACCTGCATGGGCAGCAGCAGGAGAACGAGTCTGATAGAGAATACTATTTCCTGTGGCTTATTGGACAATCATGAAAATTATGTGAATTACATCTACCAAATGATTTATTTTCATTGATTCCTGCTATGGTGTGTAAATCTTTTCATAAAAAGATTAAGGTACCATAGTTAAAGGTATTCCTCTCTAGGATACTGACTAACTATATTTGTCATTTTAAGCCTGTTCAGGTTTACTTAAAGGTCCCATTCATCTGTTTATTACATATTGACTTATTGAGAACTTATTATGGGTGAGACACCATATACTAGAGTGTCAAAGATGAATGGTCATGGTGGTTACCTTAAAGAAACTTATAACTTAGTAGAGAAGATAATAAATACACAAATATTTATGATACAAAATATTGTATAAGTGCCACAAGAGTAAATCAAAGTACAGGAGATGACCAGAGGAAGGAGAACTATGGCCAAGATGATCACAGAAGAATTTATGAATAAGGCAATATTTGAATTGGGACTTGAAGGATGGATAAGATTTTGGCAGGTGGGATGGGGAAGGCATAGTGGGTAGAAAAAAATGGCATGAACTGAGGCACAGAAGTAGGAAAGAATTTTATATGTGTGATTCATGGCCCATTGACAGAACTCTGGACTCACAGAGATTGGGTTTGTTTTGTGGAGCTTTGCATATAATTAATTCACTTTGGTTCATGCTCCCACAGAACACTCCTTCTGGAGGTTAGAATTTGACTGGCAGGGTATTTGTCTTACCTGCTAGCAGTCGATCTACAATATGAGCATAAACATATTTATTACAAAAACTTTAGGACAAAAATAAGTCTAAACCAGGGTGATACATTTTAAAAACTGGTTTTCTGGGGGGGAAATGTAAGCAGGACACACTTTTAAATTTAAACTGCATTATTAACATTCTCTCCATCACTTTTAGAAGTCTAGAGTGATAATCAACAAAACAATAAATCAAGCTCTGATTTGTAGTATTTGCCAATTTCCAAGGTTTTAAATACTCATACTGAAATTTTAACAACTGATTCCCAAATTCAAGCTGGTTCCAGCACAGGACACCCCTGGACTCAACCCGCAGTTCAAAGCAAGGAACAAACTTACAACAACAGCAAAATCCCATCAATGTGAGTGACATTGGAGTTTTTTCCTTATGTCCAGTCAGCATTGGTCACCATACTACTCATTGGCACATCCTAGCCAGGTCACCACAGCTCCTACAGATCCTGCCTGATCTCAGAAAGCCTCTGTCACTTCTGTCTACTGCCATTGCTACAGCTGTCATCATAGCCCAGGCTCTGCATACCCTGATTTAGTGTAGGAACTCTTTGTCCTGGAGACAGACAGCCACTACCTACACCTGCCAATCTTCCAGAGATTTCATTCCCCCTTCCTTGTTTTTTTTTTCTTTCTTCTTTTCCTTGACACTCCTGTTTGATGCATTTGTCTATATGTCTTTGGTCCACAGCACTTGAGAAAGTGTAGGCTTTGCTATTGTCATCACAGCCATTACGTATTTGGAAAATGGCTAGTTATAATATGATAAAACTTGAAAAGTATTTTGCATTGTGGAGGGATTTGACTACATGGCTAAAAGTTTGACCTTTATTTGATAGGCAATGGCATATTATTGTAGGTTTCTCAGTAAGGGAGAAAAAGGATCAATGGGGGATTTAAGGAAGAATAATGTGGCAGTCACTTGCACAATGAATTGGAAGAGAGACTCAGCATTTATTGCATCCCCCTCCTCCCTAATTCCTGGCAGTGTGACTTTTGGTGCCACCATTCCACTGAAATTGCTTTTTCTGAGGATATCAACAATCTTTAACCTGCTAAGGCAATCAATAAATAAACATTTATTAAAGACCAGCCTTGTGCCAAATACTCTGGAGGTGCCAGAGATACAAAGACAGAAATGAAACAGAGCCAACTCTTGAGGCCTTTACATTCTACTATGGAATACAATTTATACAAAAATAAGTAAATACAAACTATATAAAAAATAAAACATTGTAAAAGTTTTTGGAGGGTGGGGGAATTCACCAGCTACTAGCTGAAGGAATCAGTAGATGGGGGAGATTTCAGATGACGTAGGAATAGTTGTGGAACCAATCTGCTGAAGAAGATGGGAAAGGATGGGATCGAGTCCATGCAGAAAAGTTGACCTTGGTGAGAAAAGGAGAGTGGAGATAAAAATGCAATAATGCCATTAATACTAATAACACATAATAAATTATGCTATTATTTACTATCAGAGATTGGAGTAAAGGAAAAAAGAATGAGGGATAATATTAGGGGTTTTTGACATGTAGGGAAAAGGGATCTTAGAGTGAATGCTCTCTATTTTCTCACTAAAATATGAGGAGAGGCCTTCAACTGGCTTGACGAATGAAAAGAAAACTTATATTTGAAGGTGCTTTCTGTGCTCATTCTCCTTGTTCCATCAGTTGCTTCTGATGCTGTTAACCACTCTTGTTTCCAATATAGTGTCTCCTGTCTTTGCTCAGACTGGTTATGTTAAAGCTTTGTCCAAACTCTGTAATAAGGCTTCATGAAGTAACCCCTCTCATTTGTTAGCTCTTCTAGTTACCTTACTTAGTTATCTTACTACTAAGTTATCTTATTTTCTCCATCTCCTTTGTTAGATGAAGGCCAACTGCCTACTAGACACATATACGTACCTTAGACTCAGCATGTCCAAAGCAGAACATCTTAGATTCAACATGTCTAAAACAGAATTCATTGTGTACTTCTCTAGACCTGCCATATCTCCATATTTCCATATATCTTATGAAGGCACCACTATTCTTTCAGTTGCCAGGTTCATAATCTGGTTATTGTTCTTGACAATTTTTTCCCTCATTCTTCATACTCAATAAGTTTCTGAGTCTTGTCAATTCTACTGCCACAAAATCTCTTGAATCTGTCCCCTTTTCTCCACTTAGATGGCCACCATTCTGTTTCATATCTTGATCACTTTTTTTGTATTAGACTTTTGTAATCACTTATAACATTACTATAGCTCTTGAAACTCATGAAATGCAAAGACATTTGCTCAAACAGTATAGCAAGAACAGTAGTTAAAAACCATTCCTCCCAAGAACCTGGGTATTACTTTTCCACAGACACTCATGGTATAGTGGGTTGGGGAAGGAAAGTGGGAAGGAATTTAAAGTACAAGAGTGAGACACAAGTATGAAGAGTACATGTGGCCAAGGCAACTCTCAGCCTTGGGACTGCAGGGTCTCCATGCCTTCTCTCTGAAGAGTCCTCACAAAGTTCACTTCAGGGTAGGGCACTGATGCTGGATAGGTTGTTCTCATGCTAGGCTGGGCTGGCTCCTCCCAGGAAAGGATTGGTCTATCCACTAGGCTCCCTGGGCTTGCTCTTGCTTCTCTCAATCTGCTGAATACATACTCAACTTCTAAAGGCCAACTTAAATTCCATACCCTCTATAAAGCCTTTTATCTCACATAGCACTTTGTTTGCAGTTTTCTTAGGTATTTACCATAGTCTGTTTGCAGTAGAGTTATTTGTGTATGTGCTATATTTTTTATTAGACCTCAAATTTCATGAGTTCAGAGACCATGTCTTATTTAAACTTTGACTCTCCTCCAGCACCTAATACAGTGTTCCACAGAAATGAGAAGATTAATAAATATTAATTGGGTTTGAGTTCAAATTTGTATCATACTAGTCTTCCAGTGATTACTAAGTAATGGTATTTTCTTGAGTTAAGTATTAAAACAATATAATGTAAATATATCAAAACTCTTAAGCCTCCCATAGTCCTTAGTATGAATTTCTTTCTATACAGCCACAGAATTAGAGTTCAGAGTTGGGCTGGACCTCTGAGGCCATTCCACCCATCCTATGGCTGAATAAGAACTTCTTCTACAATATTCCTGACAGGTGTTTGTCAAGTCTTTGCTGGAAGATCTCCAATAAGGGGAAACTTAGTTCTTGCCAAAACAATTCATTTCATTTTGGAATAACCCTAATCTTTAAGAAAATTTTCTTTATTTTTGTAACTTCCATTCCTTGTTCCTACTTCTGTCTTCTGGGTCCAGCAGAACAAACCTAATCCATTTTCCTTAATCCTAATTCATTTCCTTCAAATAGTTGAAGACAGCAGTGATACACCCTATAAGTCTTTTCTCCAGGTTAAAAATCTGCATTTCCTTTAACTATTTCTAATATTATGGGACCTTAAGTCCCTTCACCATCCTAGTCACCCTCATCTAGCTTGTCAATATTATTTCTAAAAAGTGGCACCAGAATTAATTGAACACTAAACTCCAGGTAGTCTAACCAGGATAAAGTACACCAATACCACTGACAAGATTCAAAATTGAATAAGGCATTATCTTCTTATTCCTTAGCTTTTGATCTTAGAAGTAAAATAATCAGGGAAATGGCTAGGAGGTACATAATGGGAGGAGGCTAGAATAATCCACAAACTGGATAATCTATCCTGAATAATTAAACAGTTGTTTTAAATATTTTTAAAAGGTATTATATGAAAATATATTGGGAAACAGCACCATCTGTTGATGAAACAAGAACCAAAAAAAATCAAAAATGTGAAGAAAAATGGGGAGAAAAAGAGGGTACTGAAATCCTCAGGTACTTTTTTCTGAAAATGCTAACAATAACCAAGTCAATTTATATTCTGAGCATAGTAGTCATTCAGTCAATAACCATTTATTAAGTATACTTAGTAAAACAATGCAACTCGAGTGAGATTTGTTGGTAAAGGCCCAAATTCCAACCTGTGACTGTAAGGCTGTAAGAGTTGGTCAGTCACAGAAACGAATGATATGACACATGCTAGAGCAATCCAATTCAATCCAATAAACATTAGGAAAAAATTAAAAGCACCTACTAACATGCCAGGCACTGTGCTAAGCACTGGGGATACAAAGAAACAGTTCTTGTCATCAAGGAGCTCACAGTCTAAGTGGGGAAGGGAGGAAAGGGCTGAAGGCAGGGGAGATCAGGGGATATCCAGTGCTGGGGTGAGGGGGCATCTTGTTCAGTAGGGTGAAACCAGGAAGATGCAGAATGGAAGAGAGAATAGATTGAATCTTTCTTGGACAATGAATTGAGGCTGTTCTTTAGGGAAAGGCAAATTAGGCTGAGACATATAATGCTAAGCAAAGGTAAGGAAGTAAACATTTAGAAAATTAGTGCAACAAAAGGTGGAAAATGGTTTTAATGAGTGCTTTGCTGAGAATGGCATAGTTGTTAGTATATTGTATTTCATCAGAATAAAAGTGATGTAACTTCTAACAATGAAAGTGAAATAATCTGGATAAAAGGTTAAATCTACCCAGAAGATAAAGAAATGGAAGTTTAAGCAAGGGAGTGGCATGCCCCTTATCCACAACTCTTTCTCACTAAGGGCATAGGGAGATGAAGAGTGACTTGGAGCCATGAAACTGAACAATGAATATGCTAAGTGTGTCAATTCAGCTCTAAACAGTAAATGAGCCGAGTTGAACCTGGCGAAGTAAAAGCCTTTATCTAGACTATATAACGCAGCTAAGTGGCACAGTGGATAGAATGCCAGGCCTGAAGTTAGGAAGACTTCTCTTCCTGAGATCAAATCTGCTCTCAGACACTTACTGGCTGTGTGAAAATGACTGAACAAATTGTACGATGGAGCTTAACGAAGCATCTGTATCTGGTGGACTGAAATGCTGCCCCGGAACCATTGAAAGAAATGGTCTGCCTAGAAAATAAAGGTTCTGCTCCAGGTCAGGTAGCCTGAATTACCCTTTTTTGGCTTTCCACCAAATAAGGGTTCAAAAAACTGTTAACATTTTCAAAATTCTGATATATGTTTAAGTTTAGAGGTGCTAGTATTTAGTTGGTTCAATTCTGAATTCTTATTTTGTTTATAGACTTTTCTAACATTAAAACAAATTATTAACAGATCCAGAAAAACAGGAAACAGCTGAGGCTATGCACTACAGAGGAGGTGAATTTCAGAGGTGCCACCAGAATTTAGTTTAAGAAAAAAGCAAGTTTTTAAGATAGCTTCACACGTCTTCAGTGCTAATATACTATTGTATGACCAACCCATCTTTTGAGTTTCACAATCAATATATGAAAGAGTTTATGAGAAGTTTATAGAGGCTTGACAGCAGTACTCTAGGTTTCCTTTTGTCTACTCCAGTATTGATATGTGTATATGGCTCTGAATGCTCATACCTCTGGGGAAATCAGTTAGGATGTTATGTGACCTTTGGGGATGTGTGATGGAGGGGTCCTTCCTCTTCTTTCCTCTTACTCCCAACTTCAGAGAAGGTGCAGACGTCCTCCAACTACTTTCTTTTGTTCATGATGACTCTTTTGATGGCTATTGAGCCAATTAAATTAGTATATCTATGGATATATTAAAGGGTTGATCCCTGACCCTCAAACCTCTTCTTCCTGCTGACCTTGAAATATTAGGATGACCCTTTGAACTCTGAAAGGTCAGTACAGGGAGGGATTCCTTTGCTATCATTAGGCCCAAGCCATGAGCTCATGGCCTCTTAGGGAAGCCTGTGTCTGGTTTGGGACTGTCTCCTGTTTGTGTCTCCTTTCCTTTGCTATATGATCTTGTGAGATCTCAGAAGAAAACTGGCATCTTCCCCCTTCTTGGACACCCAAGTAGTAGGGGTATCAGATACCAGAGCAGTGGCAGCTGAAACAGCACCAGAGGTAGATCATCCAAGAGGGAAAGAGTCACTCAGAGAGAGAAAATGAGATAGAGATGGCATTGATCAGGCTGTCTAAAATAGCTGATGAGCAGCCTTGTTGGAAATACCCCAATGAGGCTTGTAGTTTCTCAATAGATTGTCCTCATTCTCTGATTTTTTAATAGCTTAGCATTTCCCTTTTCTACGTGAGAATAAAACTATTCCACACTTAATTTGTGTTTGTTTTCTAGATACCTTCTTACTTCTAATATTAAGGAAGACTTCTTAGACTAGAGCCAAAAATAAAATTGTTCTAGAGTAATCTGAGGTAGGGGTGGAATTGCAACACAGGGAGCCTGTTGAGGAGATGGGAAACTTCAGAGTTATAAACCCAGGGAAAACCATGAAGGCAATTAAAGGTCAGAAGCCAGCTCCTGTCACATCAGCATAGGGGTACCTGGCTAGCTGCAGTGTTA